TGACCACTGTGGCACTCCGCCACAGTGGTAGCGGAGCTCGGAAGAATCCAGGGACCAGCAAGGAGTCAGCGAGACTCAGTTTGCCGAGTGATTCTCGAAGCTACGACTGCAACCCATGACAGAGCCCGACGCTGCTAACAGACCAGTTCCGGAGGAAGATGACAACTTAGCAGAGGACGCAGACCCATGGAGAGATTACCAGGCCCCGGGCGGGGAAGCCCCGGCCAATCAACCCCCTCCAGGGTTTTCTCCAGTACGGCGCCAGCGTAGGGACGCTGACTTCGCCGAGTTTCAAGAGTTCCTTCAACGACGACGAGACCAACGCCCGCCTGGACGACGGGAGCGAGATGCTGACGACGATGATGATGGAGGTGAACCCGGCGGACGGAGCAACGCTGGACCTCCACCGTCATGGGACGGCTCAAGCGAGGCCTTCCGCGACTACGAGATCCGTGCTAAGCTTTGGCTGGCCACGACTAAGGTGAGACCCCAAGCCCGGGGACCCTTGCTCCTCAAGAATCTGAGTTCCACACCTTTCGATGACTTGAAGCACCTGGCAAGGGACAGCAGCTGGATGCAAAGCTCTACCAATGGTGAAGAGCTCCTGCAGCAGATGTCGACTAAGGAACTGTACGGTGAGGACGAAAGAGAGGAGATGATCAACACCCTGGCCAAGGTGACCTACACGTTGCGCCGACAGCGCAACGAGGGACACAAGGCCTTCTTTGCAAGATGGGAGCTCCAGATCCGGAAGCTCAACGAGCACAAGGTGGTCCTCCCTGCCGAGTACCTGGGCTTCTTGTTGATCAACGCCCTCCAGTTGAGTCAAAGCGACATCAAGCTGCTTATGAACTATAACCAGGGCAAGTTGACCCCAAAGGTGGTGAAAGAATGGACCAGAGTCAATGAGGCCGACCTGGCTTGGAGGAGTTACGAAACCGCCAACTCCAAGAAGGCGAATGCCGTGATGCACCTTGATGAATTGAGATCCTTCTGAACGCCATGGACGAGCTCGAGAACCCCGACGGAGGCCAGACCGAGTCCAACGAGGTGTTTGACGAGGACGAGGTCAAGGAAGTCTTGGCAACAATGGTGCGGGACTACGGCAAGGGCGGAGGCAAACGAAGCTTCAAGGCCGTCAACGATGCCAAGAAGGCAAAAGGGCTAGCCCGAGGCTACGGAGTCCATCGTGATCCTCAGGGGAGATTCGGACCCAGACAGGACGGCGATGCCGTCCGGACAGGCAATGCCTACAAGGTTTCGATAGAGCTCCTGAAGAAGAGGACGCGGTGCAAACGGTGCAACCGATTGGGGCACTGGCATCGCGAATGTCCGGACAAGGACAAACCAGGGATCACGAAGGAGGCCCACTTCCTCGAGGAGGACGAGTCGGAGGAAGCTCTGTTCTTGCACTACATGGACTACATCGACAGCAAGCGAGGCGGACAGGACAGTAGATCGGAAGCAGCTGCCGACAACTATGTGTCTCACAGCAGCCAGTCGTCTGCGGAGTTTTGCGGCCCTCGGGGCCACGGACAGCCAGGACCCGCGCAGCACCGGGGAGCATACACGTGTGCCGCACTAGGGCTGCCTCATGAGATCATGTCCTTAGAATACGAGAACATCCCACGGATGAGTCCTTGTGTGCTACTATCGATACAGGTTGTCAGAGGACCGCGGTTGGAAGAGATACTTTAAATCGTCTTCTTGGCAAACAACCATCCGGAACCCGGTCGCATCTAAAGAACGAAGTGCACATGTTCAAGTCCGTCAACGGGACCTCTCGTACTTCTCAGGTGGCTTGTGTACCTTCCAGCTTGGGACCCCAAGGCTGCATTCTTCGTCCAGCAGTGTTTGATGAAGGTACAAGCTCCAAGGCCCCGTTCCTGATATCCCTGCCGTTTCTCATATACTGCAAGGCTACGCTGGTTCTAGACCCAGATCAAGGCATGAAACTCAAGCTCGGCAGGTTCAACCACGAAGTTCCCCTGCATATCGGACCTACAGGGGCCCTTAGAGTACCTGTGGGAAACTTTACAAAGCGCATGCAGAGAGACCTGAACATTGCCATTGACAAACTAGCTGCTGAAGACCACAGTCATGAAACTCATGCCGTGGAGCCCATCGATGAGAGTGATCCAGCCTGTGCACCTTCCAAAGCTACCCGGCTCGAGAGCATCGCAACTGCAACCAGCGCCTATCCTCCACCTCCTGGTGCCGATCGCCATGATGCGTGGATCCCCGAGCAAGAGGACCAAGCGCGAGCCCGAGTACAACCCTCAAGAGTTCGGATGGCGGAGAATGGTGCTGCGCCTGATGGTTCTAATGGCCGACGCGGTGCAGCGGATGATGATGCAGTTCGTTGGGATAACCCAGCCCCAGGAGCAACTTCGTGCCCGGCTGGTCGAGACCATCCGGGACATGAACGAGGCCGAGATCAAGACAGCGAAGGACATCCTGGAAAGTGCTGGACGAGCTCAGCAGCACGACCCCGAGCAGGAGGAATGGAGCGTGGTCGAGCCGATGGAATGGTCCGACGAGCAAGAGCCCCGGAAACGTCGGGTCCCCGAGACGGACGAGGAGTTCGCCAACTACCCGGCGGTGGGATCGAACAAGGTCCAACGATCAAAGTGCTACTGCGGCAAACCGGTGGAGACGATCCGGACCAAGAAGATGGGGCCCAACCTCCACCGACTCTTCCTTCGGTGTCCAATGTGGCGGGATCCGCGTGTCCGGTGCCCCTTTTTCCAATGGCTGGCCGACGAGGACCAGGACATGTGGACGTCTTCGACACCGAGCTTCTTGAAGAGCCCGACACCAGAGCTAAAAAGTCCGGCGACACCGCCCCAGGAGTACCCAGGACGGGCTAACCGGCCACATGTCGCACCACGTGGCCGCTGCCACGCGGCCACATAGCGCCACGTGGCCGGATGGCGCCGGGCGCAAAAAAAACAGTAGAAATGCACGGACTCACAACACAGATTCGCGCAGAAATAAAAACAAAAAACGAATTTACCTGGTAAAAATCACGCGAAAAGNNAGCAACAACTAGGTCGTATGCACGCGTAATAGAAGTCGCCGGCGCCTATATGAATAAATCGGGATATATGTCAGTTAATCATAGATATGTCGTATATACTTGTATTAAGTCACGGCCATATACATGTATATATGGGCGCTTTTGTTGAAATCAAAATCACGATTGCGTGTGTGGATGTAAACATATATTGCATACTTTTACATGTTAGGCGTGCGCGTGTATAAACGCAGAGATATATACCTACAATTGCATATATATATATATGCATACATTTGGGCTAATATGTGTTTTGTCTGTATATCTATCTATATATATATATATAAGTACATTCGTACCTTCGTACTTACACACACACTCATACGTACAGTCACAGGCGTGTATATATAGCAGCATGCCATATATGTTCTCTTGGGGGGTCGTACTGCAACGTTCAGCTGATGCGCAAGCTGGCCTGCGGCCACGACAATCTTTTTTCGCCGCTCGTCCGCACTGCTTACTCATCCAAGAGCCCAGCCCATTTAAGGCACACGTGAAGGGTGTAGTGATCGATCGCCCGAGTGCCACAAACCAGCGG